GAAGAGATTTGATTTAAAGGAATTTAACATGAAAAAAACATAGAAACTGCAAGCAACTAAGTGTAACAGCCCCCAAAAGCATCTTGGATTAATGGAACCTTAGTGAACTAGAGCAGGGACATGGGACAGGCATCATGACTGATTTTTCCCACCTATGATGAAAAGTCCTGAGATATAAATAGTACTGTAAGAACAGGAGGGACTCCAGCTTAAGGCTAAGATACCATTTTTAAAAACCAGGGAGTTAGAAGGTAAGATTCCTAACATATTTTATGGTAATCAGCCAATAACCAACACTATCTTAAGGTAGGGCATGCAGTCCTACATGGTATGTTTCCACTGCTTGAGGGGAACCACTATCTTGGAGAAGAATGGATCAATAAATTCCTTGTGATAGGCGAAATGACATATGTCTCACTGGGGATGGACATCATGAGACCACAAGTCAAGCCCATGCCCCTGGCCCTTTGCCCCATCTTTGACATCCTTAAAAGCCAGAATCCTAAGTCTTTAAGCAGGCCTCCTCTCCGACACTACCCCTACTCCTCCCTGTCTTCAAGTGTGCACTTTAGCTTAAATAAAGCCTTCTCACTGTCAACATACTGTGTATTATCTGTATACTCTTCCAGTCGTAAGCATCTTTATTACTTTGCTATTTCATCCAATTTTCTAAACTTAAGTCAAGTTTTCACTCTCTGTCCTACTTCAGACAAGTAGGGAACAGCTACTAAGATCTATGATTTGGGCTTGCAAGTTCCTGCTGACCCAGACAGGACTTCAGTTGTATGATCATGCTCTTTGGTAGCCTGCCCCAAAATCTCCTTTCTTTGCTTTGTGAAGTTCTCAGAACACAATCTCACTCTGTGCAGTGCTCTTTGACTCCCCCAATTCCTGGGGTGATAGGGACTTAGTTCCCATGCCATGCAGATTCAAGCAGACACTGGATACCATGTGACTCTGGTTTCAGGAGCTGGAAAGGGATTTGCCCTATGCCTACCAGGAGTTCAATGAGCTTCCCTTTCCTCCCTTTGTTCTTCTTTGCTCTCTGCTGCCTGAAAGGCTGCTGCCATTTGCCGCTATTCTCACTTTAATGAATTCCTTCCTTACCTACCTTGTCCTACCACCTGTTCAAGAATTCTTTCTCGATCAGATTTAAGAACTACCCCCCACAACCCCCATTCAGGTTGAGGTTTCACCTAGTGCCCAGGGAGAGACCTCCCCAGACACAACTGCCCAACAACAGGCATGTATGTGTGACAAACAGAATTTCCACTTTATTTTCTATAAAATTAAGTATTCACATATACCGCTATTTAAAGGAGAGAAATAATGCCCTTCTTTTATAAGACCCCCACAACCCCCATTCAGGTTGAGGTTTCACCTAGTGCCCAGGGAGAGACCTCCCCAGACACAACTGCCCAACAACAGGCATGTATGTGTGACAAACAGAATTTCCACTTTATTTTCTATAAAATTAAGTATTCACATATACCGCTATTTAAAGGAGAGAAATAATGCCCTTCTTTTATAAGAAACTTTGAATCAACAATAAAATGAAATTTAAGTAAGATATGAAGTTTTCTTTGACTAAACTTTAAAAAAAGGAAAAATATCTCAATTATAAAACTCCCTTTCAATATTACAAATGATAATGATTTGTGATTTTGTTCATTCCCTAATTAGGTAAAAGAGTACTAATGAATATGATTTTGTTTGCTGTTCTGGGGAGGTTCCTAAATTTTACAAATTAAAAAATAGGAATGTGTACATTTTGAAATAAACAAGTAAAAGAAACCACCTTAAATTACTTGTTTATTTCAATATAGTTTTCCTTTAAATTTTTTTCCTTTTGAAACTTCATGAAATACTTTATGTTTATGCAATAAGTGAAAATTGAGAGAAAAAAATAGCCTCAGACTTTCCTCCATTTATTTCCTCTTGAGGGAGTACAGCCTTATGTTAGGTTTATCAAGTTTTATGTAATATGTTTATAAAGATTAAATGCCCAAATTTTAACTATATAGTATTTTTTAAAAAACAGAAAATACTCTTTTAGACTCTGAAAAGAAACTACTAATGTTCTGAAGTCTTTAATTTGTATTTATTCTAGCATCAATACTGCCTTTCCTAACTTTGGGTATATTGGTAAGCATTAATGCCAATCCAGGGCACGTTCATGTCTTTCTGTTTTCATATTTCCAGGCCTAACCAGGCATACCATAGCTCTCCAATTCACAAAGCACTCTTACTATATAATCTGAGACTTCTGCAACCATATATTTTAAAGCACTCATCGAGCCCTGAAAGGCAAATGCTATCATTCAAGTTCTAATTACATGCTACCTAGGTTTTACAGAACAGAAAAAAACTGAATATTGTGCTTCTTAAATACATTTTTTGACCACAAAGCAACTTCCAAATAGATGTCCAAAATATTTTCTGAATGTATCACTAGACAAAGAACTCAAGCACTGGCCCACTGAAATTATGTTCTAGTTTCTCCTTGTGCTGCCTCCACTTGATAAATTGGTCAATAAATGCCAAGTCAAATATTCAAGTAAGTATATTTTCATGTTATTGGAAGATATATAATTAACTCTGAGAAAAAAGAAACAAGAAATCAATTTATGATTACTCCTTCAGTTCTTCCCATTAGTCATTTACATTATAATTGTGGTTCCACTTTAAAAATCTTTATATACACACACACACACACACACACCATTTTGACTACATTATAAATTAAATTACTTCAATTACAAATTAATATTGTATGAACTGTGAACCTCATATGTTAATTTTATTAGTAAGATACAATTGTATTATTATCCACATATATGAGCTGATTAAAAAGCAGTGCACATTTATGAGCCTATATTAATTAGTAATTTCAGCAAATGTTTCTAAACAATGTTAGCAATTTGTTCTGTCTTCTCTCAAGTATGTAGATTTGAGTCAACATTTCTTTATGTATGTGTATATATCAACAAATTACATTTTTATTTTCAGTAGAATAGGTTGCTAACAGAAAATAACACAAAGAGTACTTTTTTTCCAAAGAAGATAATCAAAGAATTTTTTTTTTGGTTATCTGTCAGATCAATATCTTCACTGATCTAGGAAAAATACATTTATTTCGACAACTTACATAAGTGACCTTTTAAAAATATTACCTCAAGCTAGATGCAAAATTTGCTTCAGATATATTATTATAGGCAAATTTCATGAAGAAAAGATTAAGATGAGCTCAAGAAATATGATTTCATAAAATTGCTATATTAATCAATTGTTAACTTTCATTATGTTAGGTTAATTGTTTTTAAATTATATAGTATGGATAAGTCATTTAATTTCTGAGTTTCCTCAGCTATAAAGATGGATTAATGATGGCGCCTCATCAAAGAATTCCTGGCAGGATTAAAGGAGTTAATTCAATTGGTGACACATTTAGAACAGTGCCCAGCATATAGTAAGTGCTCAGTGTTAGCCATGCATTGCCTAATTAAAAATATCTTGCCTATTACTTCTACCAGCTTCTACTTACCAATCCTGAAAGTATCTTAATTCCTTTTAAAGAGAAAGAAAACATCATGACATTCTTAATGCTTTGCCCATCCAATCAGCTTTTGCTGGTGGCAGCTAGTTTATCTGCTACTCACAAGCAAAACAGAACTTGAATAATAGTTCAAAATTCTGTTTTAAAAGCATTCTCCCTATTATCTCACTATTAGCACTCATTAATTCATCCAAAACACTAATTTAAATTCTGTGCTTGATACAGGTTGTGGGACTAAAAAGTAGTTAAGAAAAATGTTCCAGCTATATTGTTCACGAAACAGTGAGGGATACAAATATAAACATAAATATGTGCTGTTGATGAATTCCAAGGTGGTGTATTGAAAGCTATAATAAACAATTTTTTCCAAGATGTCTATGGGAGGGCCTCACAGTTGATGTGTGAGAAAGACTTGGCAGAAAGAGCAAAGGTGCATTAGATGAGACAGGATCTACGACTATTTTATTCACAAAGAGAACTGTCAACTCCTCACAGTGGTAAGTTAAAATAGATTTGTTTTAAGCAAACAGATTTTGTCAGATAGACTTGCCATTACACACTGCTTGTTTAGTTTATCTCAAGGGGTTGAATAAATATATTTGTGTGAGTGTCTGCCCCTACCCATTGGGATGCCTTCACTGTGACATACATGGGTGATGTTCTTAGCTCCCATCTTCCCAGGGCTCAGTGAGATCTTCCTAAAACCGCTTTTATCATACCACTCCCTGATCAAAAACCTGCAAAGGTTTCCTCCTATTTCCAGGTATCAGCCCTCTCCTTTGACATGATTTCTCTCCCAATATGCCTTGGGCATGTCTCTGTTTTGTTCACATCCTCTCCCTGCGCCTACTGCTTTTTTCCTACTACTTCTCTTTACCTCTCCAAAAATTCTACCCACCCTTCAAAAACCCTCCTTCAAGAAGCCATCAGATTCCCTTGATTCTCTTTAAGATAACAGAGCTTTTCAGATGATGCAGAACAAAGAGAAAGGCTAGTGGAAAAATTATACTTTCAAATGAAAGATATGTCCAAAATGTGGTAGAGGGCTGATGAGCAAAAGGCAGAGACTCATTGAAAGTTACATTCAATTGTTACATCAATGTAGCACACTTCTTAACTTATTTGCTATTCAAAATTTATATATATATATACACCAACTACTTATAGAGCCATTATTTTTTCAATGACATCGTGCTCTTTCAAGACATTAACCATCCCACAACAGGCACAACGAATTCTTCAATACTTAAAATGGTTTCTTTAGGACAAGTTCACATTAGAACATACGGTGTCACTGGATTCAGAACTTTAAATATTACTAAGCAACCGCAACTACACTACCATCCTACTAGTTTGCTTCCAACGTGAAGGACTAGTTAAACAGCAAAATATCCTCGGAAGGTCATATTAACACAGATTATTTCATGCTTTGTTATCTCAATACCTTCGATTCCAACTGCATTTTCGCTTCCTTCAGCTCCTCTGTCGCCTTCTTCGCTTTTTCACGACATCTATTTATTTCCGACCTTACTGTAAAGATAAATTAAATCCTTCAACACATCGATCTTTCTAAAGTCCCCATTTCTGTAGCCTGTGATGAGGCACCTGTCGGCAAGCAGATTCCCCTGACGCCTGCGATCACCGCCTTCGGTTTCTTTCTGCGCCAAGCCCCCACCTCGGGAGACCCAGGCCCCACGGGGGTGACGGAAGCGCCCGACCTTCCCGCATCAGGCGGCGACTCTCCTCGGCCTGCTGCTCGGAGAAGACGATGTGCTCGAACAAGGACTCTAGACTCATCTTAGGGCCCGGCTCCGCAGGTTCCCGTTTTCGCTCCTAAGTATTTTATAACCGAGTCTGAGGATCCTGGAAAGCACAGCAGAGAAGAGGGATTCATCCAGGCTGTCCCCGGGCCGGCCTCCGGCCCCCCGGCCCCGGCCCGCCGCGAGCGCGCCGCCCCGCACGCAGGCTGGGCCCAGGCGCCTCGCCGCCGCTCGCCGCCCCGGTTTCCTGTTGCCACAGACAAACCCTGTCCTCCGCCCCCGCACTTTGTTCCGCCTGTGCCAACAGTGCCTAACTTTGCTTTTATTCCCTGGCTGAAGGCCGCTGCCCTCGGCCAGGAGCGGCCTCAGCCCCACTCCGGGTCCTGGTGACACATCATGGCGGCCCTGAGGCTTGGCTTCCGAGTAGGTCTGGGCAGCAGCCCTTCCTGTGCTCGGCCTTTTCCTCTCAGCCCCCTCTCAGTTGGGGAGAACGTGTTCAAAGGGCTCCGTCTCCCAGCAAAATGTGAGCTTGCTAACATACCGTCTGTGGGACGAGGCCTTCCAAGGGCTGTGGCCAGGACCCCGAGTTGCTTCCCGGTGGGGGCTTCAACTACGGCAAACCATTGGGCCCATTCTGCGTTCAGGGGTTTTACTATCGCCACGTAGTCCAAAGCTCTCGGGCCTTACTTAGAGGGGGGCCGATCTCTATCCTAGCCACAAACGCCCAGTATTACAAAGAACTAAGTACTCGTGATTCTAAATATAAACTCTTGCAAAGTCCTACCCTTTGGCTATGGCAAAGACTGCTATAAATGTGCAATGTCTGACATTCCGCCTTAATCATTCCTTTGTAATCAGGGCATATCTTTTTTGTCTGCTTTAAAATTAATCATTGCCTTTTGTAATCAAGCTGCAGTAATATTAACACTTCAATACCTGCACAATATGTGTCAGAGACCAAAGTGGTTGCTAATTAAAGCTTAAACATGAAAGGCACCTTTGGGACTTTTGCATGGGATTTTTTAAATTAAAAAATAAATATTTTAATTTTAGAAGGTCAAAATATGAAGATTATAATAAACATTTGACTTTATTTCTGAATGTTGAATTGATACTGGCTAAACTTCAAAAAATAATTTCCAGTTAGAATGTATCTTCAACTAAAAGATGTAAGTGTAAGTTCTATCACATTATCTTTATAATTATTTAATTAATACTGTAGCATAAGTGGTAAAAAATTTTAACCTATTCCAAGTTTCTACCTTAAGATCCATCAAGCCATGTATGCATAAAACTTAGTTTTTAAACTTTATTGCAAAAGAACACATACTGAAAAGCATAATGAAATAAAAAGAATTGCCCATAAATGTACCACACAGAAGCAAATATGAATAATAATATTTTGGCTACTACCTTCCAGGTAATCCTGACTTTGCAGTTTTCCTTTCAAACTTGAAAATACTGTGATTAAGAATAATAGTTATTACTAATATTATTTATTGAGTATTTGCCAGGCTATTCTGAACTATTTCTGAACACTAATATCCTTTTGAGATGAGTTTTACTATTACCTTCATAGTATACTTGAGGAAACTGAGGCACAGAACAGTTAAGTATCTTGCCAATGTTGTACACCTACTATATGGCAGAGGGAAATCAAACCAAGAAATCCGAGATCAAAGGCCATGAATTTAACTTTGGATTCTTCCTCTTACTACATTATAAGCACTTTACCATTTCATTGAAAACTCTTCCTAAATACATTTTTAGAACATCATAATCCTTCATTATATGGATGCATGTGTAAAATGTAGATATACTGAAATAAATTTGACTCTTTTATCAGTTCAAGGATGGAAAACAAAGCTGAAATTGTGGTTTGAGCCATTTTCTTTAAGCTTTCATTCCAAGGCTTATGAACTGTGCCATAGTGACCATCAAAGGAAAGGGGTTCCAGAAGATAAATTATATCACTAATTAATATCACTCCCTTCGGAATTATTTCCTGTGGACTTGCACAGGGAGCATCCTCAGAAGGAGGCTGGTTTTCAAAACCATACTGCTCTTTGACATTCCAATTTTATTAGTTACACTCCATCTCACATTTATTATTGAACATGCTCTTCTGTACTGAAACTTGGCAGAGTGAAATTTAGGCAGCCTTTGGGGAGCCCAGTTGCCTCACTCTCCCAGGAGAAAGGAAGAGAGACCTGCTGGAAGTTCTGGAAAGAGGGTACGGGGAGAAATGGCTTCTTCATATTCAGCTGTCTTCTTCACATCCCAGAATATTTTGGTGATTTAAATCCCAAGTTCAAGTGTTCTTAGAGTTACCATAACTATAGGCATTAGCAAGATTTTTAACTTTATTTGATTTTTTTGTAAACAAACATGATTATGCAAGTCCACAATTCAAATTTTAACTGTTTCATAATGAGTAAAAGTAACATATTAAGATATGAAAATATTGCTATCATATATCTAGCGTTATCATCATTCTCTGTACTGTTAAGATATTTTTTCTTACAGATATACATGCTGACTACATTCTACAATGTTCAGAGCAAGAGCAGCATTACTTAAATTTATGCAAAATAAAAATGGTATATGATATGGTAAAACTAGGGCATACCATTTTCAGAAAATGCATCCTATAAGTCTAAAAAAAAAAGAAATGATTCACTCAACAACTGTTTAATGGGTCTCTGCTATTCATTCAATTAAGAATAATAGTTATTACTAATATTATTTATTGAGTATTTGCCAGGCTATTCTGAACTATTTCTGAACACTAATATCCTTTTGAGATGAGTTTTACTATTACCTTCATAGTATACTTGAGGAAACTGAGGCACAGAACAGTTAAGTATCTTGCCAATGTTGTACACCTACTATATGGCAGAGGGAAATCAAACCAAGAAATCCGAGATCAAAGGCCATGAATTTAACTTTGGATTCTTCCTCTTACTACATTATAAGCACTTTACCATTTCATTGAAAACTCTTCCTAAATACATTTTTAGAACATCATAATCCTTCATTATATGGATGCATGTGTAAAATGTAGATATACTGAAATAAATTTGACTCTTTTATCAGTTCAAGGATGGAAAACAAAGCTGAAATTGTGGTTTGAGCCATTTTCTTTAAGCTTTCATTCCAAGGCTTATGAACTGTGCCATAGTGACCATCAAAGGAAAGGGGTTCCAGAAGATAAATTATATCACTAATTAATATCACTCCCTTCGGAATTATTTCCTGTGGACTTGCACAGGGAGCATCCTCAGAAGGAGGCTGGTTTTCAAAACCATACTGCTCTTTGACATTCCAATTTTATTAGTTACACTCCATCTCACATTTATTATTGAACATGCTCTTCTGTACTGAAACTTGGCAGAGTGAAATTTAGGCAGCCTTTGGGGAGCCCAGTTGCCTCACTCTCCCAGGAGAAAGGAAGAGAGACCTGCTGGAAGTTCTGGAAAGAGGGTACGGGGAGAAATGGCTTCTTCATATTCAGCTGTCTTCTTCACATCCCAGAATATTTTGGTGATTTAAATCCCAAGTTCAAGTGTTCTTAGAGTTACCATAACTATAGGCATTAGCAAGATTTTTAACTTTATTTGATTTTTTTGTAAACAAACATGATTATGCAAGTCCACAATTCAAATTTTAACTGTTTCATAATGAGTAAAAGTAACATATTAAGATATGAAAATATTGCTATCATATATCTAGCGTTATCATCATTCTCTGTACTGTTAAGATATTTTTTCTTACAGATATACATGCTGACTACATTCTACAATGTTTAGAGCAAGAGCAGCATTACTTAAATTTATGCAAAATAAAAATGGTATATGATATGGTAAAACTAGGGCATACCATTTTCAGAAAATGCATCCTATAAGTCTAAAAAAAAAAGAAATGATTCACTCAACAACTGTTTAATGGGTCTCTGCTATTCATTCAACATTCATTCAACAAATATTATCGAGCATCTCCTATGTGCCATTTTAGAGAAACAACAACAGGATTTAATAAAAACAGAACTACATAAAAAACATTTTTCTTCCCCCAGATATTTCTAACCTCAATGGAGAATTATTATATTTTTCAGCATTCTGGCAACACTATAAACAACTGCTCTCAGATGTTTCAACAGATGTTCTTTAGAGAGAAAGCCAATTATTTGCATTATGATAGCCACATATGATTCTCAGATCTAAACTTTCCATCTGTACATGTTTCATCGAATTGCATATCTATGGAATATAAAAGTTAAGATCATTCATTGTCTCTCAACCTCAGACTTTTGTTCATAAAAACACTAGCACCTGGGTTACTGAGCCATCAATAATTGCTTTGCTAGAAGGCCTTACATAAGGCTATATTGCTCTTGTGATTTAAAATGCATTTCTACTCCTTTCTTAGATTGATGACTTCCTTAGGTTCTAAACTAGGCTTGCAAATACCCACTAGCCCAGGGCATATATATTGCAATGAAAAGCAGAAAAGTAATTCATTTATTTTATGGTTTTTTTTTTTAAGGACATCTGCCAAAAAGAAAACCAAAACATAGGTTCAATGAAGTTTAACAACCATTTATTGAGTATCTACTAAGTGTAAAAATCTCTGCTAGGTTTTATGGGGGATACAAAATGAAAAGGTACATGCTCTGCCTGTAGATAGATTATGACAATCTATCAAATGGGATATAGCCTGCGTACAAGAGCTTTACCCTTTTTCTGTGGAAATATGGCAGAGGAAGAAAGAGTAAGTCTGATGTTGGTGATTTGGGAAGACCTACCAGTAGAGGATAAAATATGAGCTGGATTTTAAAGGGTGGTAGAACTCAGTAGATAGGAAGTAGAGGAGGAAAAAAGCAGAGTCAGATAAAGCCAACATTTGCCTCATATTTAACATTTTCCTATATATGGTGGAGGACCATGTAATGTTTTCTGGCAGGTGAGTGGCATGTCAGAGTTGCTTTATGCAGTTCAATCTGTGGCACTGGGTTAGAAATGGAAGAGAATAACAGCGAACATATTAGTAATTCACCATGTGCCAATCACTATCTGAGACCTTTACATGTCTAAATTCTTTTAATTAAGCCCAACAACCTTATGAAATCAATGCTTTTGGCATTTCCACATTACAATTGGAAAACCAAGGCAGAGAGAGCTAGGTATCTTGTCCACCTAGCTCTCTTGTCCACAGTCATATACAGTAGCCAAATGAACTTTGAACCCTGATAATCTCCTAAGGCAAATCCTCAACCACTTCCTTTATTGCCTTTAAAAACTAGAGGTGGAGAAAATGAGACTATTTCAGCAGCTGCGTTTCATTTCAAGGCATATATATTTCCTAAAAAATGCTTATCACCAACAAATTATTATCTTTTCTGAAGACATTTTCAGGCTTCTAGAGTTTGGATTAAGTAATGCAATGCATCTGTTGCAAATAAAAATCATATGTGATCTAAGGAAAAATAATAGAGAGTGGATCATTCCTTGTAAATGCTTATTTAACCAGCTATACATGTAACATGTAAAACTATAAATGAAATCTGTGGTCAAAGAATTATATTTGTTTCCTAATATTTATACTA